GATTTGCATCTTATCTCTATAGCCTATCCAGGGCTCCTGGATCAGTACTATATCGATCTGATCCACCCAGCAGAGCTCTAGGAGAGCTGTATGAGCTGGGCTTCTCTTCCCCACGTTACACTGGGCGACTCGTAGTGCCCGTGGGGAGGCTGGCCTGAGCCTACTGCTCTGAGTCGAGGTCGAGGTGGGTGTAGGCATTAATAACGTTGTAATCAGGCTTCTGCGCCACCCGCTGAGCCCTGCTGCTTGAGGTAGCTAGGGTAGGTTGGCTGGGTAGGGGGGTAGGACTGGGTCGTCAGGGGCTTGCAGCCCTTCTGCTTCAGCCCCATTCTCATCTTCATCCATGCTGCTACAGCTAGCCGCATCACTAACGTCCGCTACAACAATTGAGTCCTGGGTAGGGGTAGGGGCGCGTGGGCGCTTTGAGCCGGGCTGATGGCTCGTTAGGCTGTTGCTAGGTTGCTGGGTGTTGCTGGCTTGGGTGCCAGCCTGGCTGCTCTGATAGAGGGCCTCATAGGCCTTCTGACCAGCCTTACGGATCCGGGAGAGTTCCTTCCGGTCTGGGAGGGTAGGGGAGCCATTAACCACTAGGGGCCTTGCTGGACAGTCCTTATGGTTAGCTTGGAAGGGGCCGGAGCAGTTGGCGCACTTCGGTCTAGCTATGCAGGGCCCAGTCTCGTGGGATCCCGAGGGCCTGCTACAGTTGCTACAGAGTGGCTGTCGGTGACAGTATCGGTTCGAATGATATCCCTGGCATCCAGGATCATGTCTGATTAGGGTCTTCTTCTTTTGGATAAGCTGAGACCTGCTGCTTTGGTTAAACAGTCTGAAGGGTGGTACTTCCACAGAGAAGGAGATGACCCAGGAGACTCCGTTTGTAATAGAGTTTACACCTAGCCGGGATTGCTGGGCCCGGGTAGGCTTATGTCCTGTTTGGGCAAGGACCTCATCTTCTACCAGAGTAGCTGGGTCAAGGGCGTCGCCATCAAGAGTCCACATCTTAGCAGGGCAACATGGGACGACGTAGGTAAATTACTTAGTAGGTGTCTCAACCTTATAGGCTCCAAGACACTCTGCTAGTTTCTGTTTGTTTGCAAGGAGGGCTTGCTGGACCTGCTTATTCAGGGGTCTCAGTGAGTAGCCAGTTGCAATATGGTAGATGTGTGGGATATCTGCCAGCTGGAGCCTAAGGGCCTGGTAGACTGTCCGGCGTAGGGCGAAGGGGGCGTGCTTCCTAGCAGCCGCTAGGCCCTCTTCTGGGATATGGGTAAAGACCCGGAGGTCCTCCTTCGGTTGGGATAGAGCCTGGGCCCGGGTCTCCGTCAGACTCTGTGTCTGGACTTCGGGCCGGGTGGGGATTCGGGTACGGGTCGGGGCTACGGCCACGGCTGTAGTCGAAGCCGAGGCTGCTACGTCAGTCCATTTCCGGCTCGGAGCCGGAGCCGTAGTCTCGTTACCCATAATCCTCTTCAAGGCTTGGATTACATAGGTTGTAGCTTCTTTTGCAATCTGCTTCCTAGGCCCCTCAAAGCAAGAGATCACGTTGTCCACAGACTGAGCAATAGCCATAAAGACGTCCTTTCGGGCTTCATAGTGCTTAGCCTCTTCATTAAGAGCTGTAAGGACAGCTCCAGTAGCTGTCCCAGTCATAGTCGAGGGCCCCTTAGCCGTTAAGGGGGTTGTTGTTGGGGCGTCGGGCTGGCTTCCCAGGAGGCTGGGCCGGAGTGGCTGGGCCTCGGTTTCGCGGCGGCGTTTAGCCCTTGAGGATGGGGACGGCTCTGAAGAGGTTCCAGAGCCTCGATCAGGGCCGGCCGAGGAGGCCGGCAACGGTCCAGAGCCCGCCGGAGGCTGCGAGGCCATCGCGGGAGAGCGCCGGAGGAGAGGTGAAGGGTTTTCAGCTGTTAAGGATTTTGGTGGTAGCCCACTTATTACACTAACAGTAGATGCCAAGAAAAATTAGGCGAGAGGGAAGTTGCTGTACCCGATGACAGATGCTACAGCTCACTTCCTTCACCATACCCATCTCACTCTGTGCCGCTATATCTATCCGCACGCAGTGGTGATGGCGGCCTCGGCGCTGGAAAGAGATCCAACACGGTGCCAATTGTCAGCGAGACCGCTCACCCAAACAAAGGGGCTCGCTCACCCCAGCATCGCCTGCGATCATAATAACGACAATTATCAACATCACGATTCTTCCAACCTTGAAGTCTACTTGCAGGTCTGCGACACCATGCACCCTTCAAAGACTATGAGCCAAATCATGTTTTTTGGGTGCTTAAAAGGACTATGGTTGTTCGGTTCTCGAAAAGTGGAAACAAGTTGTCCAGAAGATGAACATTCCGCTGTGTTTAGTTTCCCTTTGTTCCAAATTTAGATGATCCGAGTCAGGTTGAAAGACTACTCTCCTTTTTGAAAGAAAATCGATTTATTTTTTCGATTCATTCTTGCCGAAGCTGAATGTTGTCAACGTTGAACCATTCCACCCTGCACTCAGTCAAGATGTTGTTAAATATCTCGATGTTTACCACGAGATCAAATTGGACTTTACTCTCTATTCTTCACTTCTCCATCTCAAAAAGCATTCATCGAAGCTTCCATTCTACATAGCCTTTTCGACGAGCAGTTCTCCAAAGAGATACGCCTTCTCAGTCTCACGAATAACCATCAACGAACTTGCCTCTGGTAGGCACACTCAACTTAAACTTTTATCGGTCCCAGCCATATTTTATCTGTCCTGCAACTGCTGAAGCCACACTCAATTCGATCGCCGTTGCATCTTTGATTAGAAAAGAGCTCATTCCCGGGTCACAGTTTGCATCTAATCCCCTCTTTTAAATACTTATCATCTATCTTCAACATGTCTTTCTCTATCCGCCATTATCTTGCCGCTGGCATCCGTGGCATGCGCGTGGCCACTGGCATATCATACGACGACATCTTTGATCAAATGTTCCAAGCTCTCAACGTTATCCGTCAGCAAGCCGCCGAAAACGGTGACACTCAGCCTTACCTCGAAGACTATGGTCCAGACGACATCTACGGCCCGCCTAGTCCCGAGTATATCAACCTCACTGGTGTCCCCGGCCATTCCTCACGCAGCCATGCTGTGAACACCAACAACAACCCTGGCCCAGCCCAACCAGGAAACCAGGTTGATATGCCTATTCGCCTCAGTGCAACTCCTCAACCCTCTGCAGCCCCCCAGCTCAATGCAGCTCCGCCGCCCGCTGCAGTTGTACAGCCTACTGTTTACCCTACTGAACCTAATGCCCCTATTCCGGCTATTCATCGTCCCCCGCCTGAGCCTGTCATGAACCCTTACACGTTGATGCCGAGAAAGAAGGGCGATAAAGGAGACAACCTGTGGCCTTGCGAGTACGTCGGCTGCGATTCTTCGTACACCCGCCGTTACACTGTCATTGAGGTAAGTTTCCGTAATAATTTCTTTGTTCTTCTTCTGGTGATCAGATGCTGACCTAAGAATACAATAGCACATGGTGACTATGCATGGTATGCCAGCACCACCCAAGAGACTTCAACGACCCAGAAATACTGCCAACGCTACCGATTCTAGCAGTGGACAGGCGCAGGCCGGTCCCTCGGGAGCCGCCACTCCGGATGATGGGGATGTAGAAATGGAGGAGTAAATTCTTCAGCTTTTGGCTTTTTCGACTTGACACCTTTCACTCGCTCTCGATACGCAATGCTTCATTCTTTTTCCAGCTAGTTCAATAAAAGTGCAGTTTTTGGACACTATAATATATTTGTTGTGGCAGTTTCTCGAGTTATTTTCTTCGTATCACCTACGTAGTTTGACAAAGACATCTATGCATCTACTTTTGACTCTGTGTCTCATAACTCCATCATCGGCTCTTGGATTTGAGTAGTTCATCCCCTTCTATTCAGCCAATACCTGATGTGGTTTGCTCACATGCATCGAAGTCGGGCTCGGGACCTGGACGTTGCACTGAGATGACCCTTGCTCCAAGGGACAGGTGTCGTATGCCCTCCAGACTTCATCAAAGGTGGCCTAGTCATATTATATTAGAATGGGATAGATCGCACCTAGCTGATCTACGCATCCTCCTCGATGAGTGAGTTTGCATGAGCAATCAGAGAAAGCGACAGGGAATGATCACCGCCGGGCCAAAAGCAGGCATTAGGGGTTGAAAATGACGATCTCTGTGTCTAGGCCAACTATGAGAAGACATAGTCTACAGGACAGTAGATAACGACATATGGATCTCGGTGGTACAACTTTACATTCAGCCACCGAGCATACCACGCACTATCTCGGCAATGCCGAAATCTTCATTCGCAAGTTAGCTTCTGGTTCTGTTACATTTCCTCCGGCCATCGAAGACGTTCTGTCGGCCCTAGGCTCAGTCATTGGTCATTGAGTCAGACCAACCCACGATCCTAACTAGTCTTGGCTTCATATAGTTACTCACGGATATCAGCGTTGGTCGGGGAGTGGCGACTAAGTTACTTTATGAAGGGAAATGCATGAGTCTAGGTTCTTGCCGCGGCCCTACCGCCGAAAGTGTCTTTAAGAAGTGGCCGGAAGTGGCCGGGAAAGGCCCAAGACTACTCCGAGGGAAAAGAGGGGGTTGAAGATGATGGCTTATTTTAGTTGCCCATTGGCCACAAAACTGTCCTAAAGGCTCAGTGTTGCCTCTTGAAAGGGATCTCACATTGAGACCAACTACGTTTTCCCTTTTTTTTTTCCTTACAACACTCTGTCTCTGTAACAAGACTTGTTCAGAACTTGGCGTCATAAAGAAACCCTTGAACGCTATCATTTCCTCTCAGTCTCAGCCCCGTCTCACAAAACCATTGTTTTCACTTGGTCTCGCCAAATGTCAACAAAGGCGCAATTCTTCGACCTCCCACCCTGAGATTAAAACTGTGAGTTCAAGCCAAGAAATATGATACTAAACCAGCACTTACGACTTTCCTCATCAAATCATCAAATACCACATAAAACTCAATCAATCATGACTTTCGCTATCGAGAACGCTTTCGCTCTTGCGATCTTGGGGGACCACAACCCGGACACCTCGACTACCAAAGACCTCATCTACAGAACAGACTTGGCATTCTGGAGAGTTAGCACTCGTATCCTCGAGGGTAATACAAGCCTTCCCAGCGATAAAGCTGACGTCTTTGAGGGAACCTTCACCCTTTCCATGCTCGGCGAACGCGTCACCTCCGGCGTCGATGCCAACACTCTAGTTGCCTCGGCCACACAAGTCTATCTCAGCATCCGTGGACGCCTGATCCGCGGCGAATGCGTTCTTCCATCTCCTCAAAGCACCATGGGCACCAGAAGACCCGATCCATCCGTTATTGTTCTGTTCGGCCTCAACACCGCGTTCCCTGCTACTGAATCAGACGTCGCCGAGTACCCGGACAACATCATCAACGGTGAGTATGAAGAGTATGATGAAGATGATGATGAGGTGGGCTTACCTAATTCTGGCCGTGCCAAGAAGGACAAAAGAGTACGAGAAGGATCCGATCCCTCTTCTCCTCCCGCCCCGACGACGAAGCGAGTACGGAAGGATAGAAGCGAAGGGATGTGAGTATTCGACATTTTGGGTTGCAATAAGGACTCCAATTGCAAGTCGACTATTGATATTGTAAGTTTACATCCCTCTCTTGATATGATCATAGGCTGACAATGTGAGTTGTAGCATAAGAGAGACGCACACGGGATCCCCCGTCCCATTGACCTCGAGCGAATGCAAGAGGAGCAGAATAAGTAGAACGTTGTCGCTGATCGGAGAGAAGTTGAAGACATGGTATAGATTTTATCTGAGACGACAGGAGTACAAAAAGATGAACGTGTTTATGCCTTTGCAGATCAATTGCTGCTAATGTAGCTCTGAATCAAAGGGCAAACAGGGCTGGCCCATCTCTGTCGTCGACTCATTTTCATTCAAGCCGGTCTCCTTAGAGACTTTGCTATCTACTTTGGTTCAATAAATATCTAGTGTACAATCGAGCTCTTACTTACTTCTCCTGCACCGTCCGCTTTCTTGAGCTCCAATAGCATGTGGACCTAAGCTGTGCACCTCAAGTTCTTATCTACTACTATCATACGCTCCTAAGATGAATGCATCACCCACCAGAACCAGGGTGTAAGTAAAGAAGACTTTCATAGGAGCAACTCAGGCAACAGGCTCTTACACACAGAGCAATTCGATGCATCTGGATGTGGTGGCAATGACAATAAGGGCAATTAGTGGTGAGCCTTTGTAATACTAGCAACCCAAGGGCCATGTTGTTGTCTGAAGGCTTGTGAATAATCGCATGCCTGTTGATTATTCCGCCAGAACAATTTTCACATTTCCTTTTTTCGCTCTTTTAGGATTGGATAGCGGTGTGAGCTTGCTCCCGCCTAGCTATAAAATCTCTTCTTCACGGGCCCGGTAGTCAACTTGCTCTTTTCACATCCACCCACCTACCTACTGGATGCCGGTCTTGTTTTTATCACAACAAAACAGAACAGGCGCGTATGTTACCTTGTCCCTAATTTCTTTAATCAACTCTACTACTTTATCGCTCAGCTAACATATTATTCTAGAACGATGTCGTTCAACCTGGAACTTAACCTTGCACTTGCTATTCGCATGGAGCAAGTGTCCACCAGCACAACTAACGAGGGCATTCGTCGTGCTACCGAGAACGCATTGCGAAATATCCAGCAGAGATTCGAAAGCGGGAACTATAATCTCCCCAGAGCTACGAGAGCCTTTGAGCGACAGCTCATCATGGCAATCCTTATGGAACAGGAAACCCGGAACCTCGGCCTCGAAGCGCTCATTATACGAACAACGACAGCCTGGGGTCGCATTTCGGCTCGCCTGAATCAAGGCCGTACCCCCTTTCCCGAGCCTTACCATGTCATCGCTGAGGATGGAGACGAAGACATCTCGATTCAGGAGCGTCTACGCAGAATGGGACTCGATCCCAACAGCTTCGATCTCACCGGCTTCACCTCCAGCCTCCTAGATGACCCTGCCAACAGCAATAACGATGGCACTGCCCAGCCTCACGCTGACATGAGCGCTGCTATTAGAACAAGCGGCATTATCTCTGGCCAAGCTGCAGTCTTCGCTCCCGTGGTTGCTGCCCCTGCTGCCGTTGTCGGCCAGAGTGGCAAGGTCGCCGCGTCTGGAAAGCCTCGGAACCGAAAGCGCGGCAAAGACATGTATGGGTGCAACGTCTGTAATCAGGCCAAGAAGTACACTTCTGCCTGTACTCTTTACAGAGTAAGTTTATCCAAGCCTAAATTGAAATCTACAAGAGAAGCCAATATGAGTGGCACAGCACAAAAAGAAGAAGCACGGCATCCCCACACCCGGAGATCTCCGCAAGGAGAGACAGCGTGCCCTGCAGGAAAGCCAGGCCGCTCAAGCTGCCGTAGATCCGGATTCGTCCAATGGATCCGATGGAGCCAACGAAGCTGGCGACGAAGATGAGGAGATGGAGGACGGATTCGAGGATGAAGAGAGTAAATAATGACCAGACGAGGCAGTCCGTATAAGCTGATGTGACCTTCTGATGGCAGCTCCGGCCCGTAGACACCAATCCCATGCTTCTCTGCATCTTTTGAACTTCAAGTATTATCCTCGTTTCCAGGCTGGCCGCTGCTGGGTCCATGAGTACCTACCTACCTTATGGGATATACGTTCTACCGAGTTTTGAAGGGTAATTGGAGCCATCACCCGAGAGAATGTGATTTGGTACGCTGGTATTTCGACTGGCCTAATAGTAGTGGTCCACGGGTAGGGAAGGGTTGTCCCACGAAGCCCCATGACCACTCTCGTTTTGCTCTCAAGCCAAGTGAATTATCACTCCTTTTTTCTTCTTTTTTTTATCATTCCACGTTGTTGAATATTCACCGGGAGCTCCTTCCTTCCCCACCTTCAATTTATGGGCAGTGAATATTTGATCACAACTACAAAATTCTCGGGCCCGGGGGTCGATTCACCTTTTCCACCTTCACCCGGGACCCACCTCATCATCGGCCTCCTTGGCCTCCTGACTTCGTGTATACAACAACAAATTCAACGAAACTACCGCGTACGTGTCATCTCCAATAGGCTTCATCCATATTGACTCGTTTCATCCCAGCTAATACTTAACTACAGAACGATGTCTTACGAGCTCGAGTACAGCCTCGCACTGGCCATTGACAACGAGCAGGCCTCTGGCACAAGTCAAGAGGCTGTTCTCAACAATGGGAATATTGCTCTGGTCAACATTCGCCAGCGTTTTGACGTTAGTAACTTCGAGATTCCGCGGGCAACTAGACTGCTAGAACGCCTCTTCACCCTGGCCATCCTTAGAGAACAGGCCGCAGGCAACATCGACATCCCATCGCGCATTACCCGACTTACTAATACTTGGGAACGAATTGCCGCTCGACTTGGACGAAACGAGACACCGTTTCCCTCCAACGGCAACGGGAACAGCAATGACAATGCCGATACCAACGTCAATAGCGATACCGACACCAGTGGCAATAGCAACGACAATACCAACGATAACGATGCCCATGAGTCGCAGTTTAGCATGACTGAATCCACCGGATCAGGCGCAGCCATCGCTCAGGCTGTCGCCGTGTTAGCCCCTCCTGCCATGCCAGCAGTTGCTCTAAATGCCACTGCGCCTGCCAGGCGACGATATGACAGGAAGCGCGGCAAGGACCGGTATGGGTGTGAGCTCTGTGACCAGCCCCGGCACTATACTTCCAAGTGTTCGCTTGACCGGGTAAGTTCATTGGACCACCAGTCGTTATTAGAGCGAATCTTGAAAGCTAACATGGATGGAATAGCACAAGAAGAAACACCATGGGGTTCCGACCCCGGGCGACCTCCGCAAGGAGAGGAAGCTGACTGCAGAAGCGGTCTTAGGGGCTCGGGCCGATGGATACCAGGCCGATGAATACCAGACCGCTGGAGATCGGGATGCGGATGATGGGACCGTTAACGAGGAAACTGGAGACGAGATGGACTTGGAGTGACTTCGTGAATCCAGTGCTAGAGAAGACGAAGACAACCTACAAGATACCAAAGCAAATATTTCAGTGAGGACTGACTACCTCAGACCCGAACGCTCCTCGATATCCCTTTTGTGACTTTCCTCTCTCGATGGGCAAGAGTTGTCCTCGCAACTTCCGGTAACTGAGTGGGAAGGTTCACAAGTCGCAGGCTCCTTCCACAACATTTCCACCATGTCTCCCGCCTCATGGAATGATGCCCTTCAGCACTGGGGAGGACTGAATCAACAGTCCTGTGCCTCTCTCTCTCTCTACAACAGTTGTAGCTAACATAAAACAAAGGAAACAATCTTTCTCAATCAAAGTATTTCCAACACTCAAAGCCACATCAATATCCCAGGCCTACAAAGCAAGAACAATGGCCGAAGAAGCCTGCCCCCCTTCCAGCGGATCCTCGCCGGCGTCCTTGTCCGACGATGAGACCGAGGGAACAATGGCAGCTTCGAGAGCCGTCTCCGAGATGGGCGCATCTTCGACCCTTCCCATGGATATTGACGGCCAACAACCTCATGCCCCACGCCGAACCATCTCCTGCCGTCACTTCTACTTCCCCACGCCACAGGAGCAGCGCGAAGCAGAGCACCACAAGCAGCCGCAAGACACTAGCAAGGAAGTCGCGACCTACATCGTCAACAACATCGCTCCCGAGAAGCGCACCGACGCCGTCAAGACTATTGCCCGAGCCCTTGCGCTCCGCCGTCTCAAGGAGCAAGCGTATCAGAAGAACCAGCGCGAAAAGGAGAAGGAGGCGGAGGAGAACGACCAGATGACGATATCCAAGACAGCCTTCAAACTTCACATGGCACGAATCAAGGCGGCGCAGCAACTCTCCGCTAGCTGGATGGAGGATACGGTGGACTCGCTGGATGGGGATTCGATTCAGGCCCGCATCATCGACATGAGCTTGGAGGAGATTCACGATACGGCAGTGGCGTTTGAGAGGGGCAAAGATCCGGCTTTTTAGTACAGAGGAGGAATGGTCATGAGGTATCTCGGGTACGAGCGAGCGAGTGAGCATACGACAGGGTATGGATTGCCAGCATCGCGTAATCGGTAGCTTTATCTTGCATTAGCCTACGATTCTACAGCTCGTTGGACAGGTATCATCGAATTTCATTCGTGAGACCCGGAGCCGATGTTGCCTACTTGCTTGATACAAAGAGCTTCCACTTTCTAGATCGCGAAATCTGCCAGCAGTGGCTAACATCCAGATGCGTTCGACTGACTGCTCATCTTTCGCCCCATCGTCGAAATGGAGGTGTGAAATTGCCATGTTCGTGAGGCCTTCACGATTCAGTCCTTCTTTTTCAGGCAGTCACAGACGATAGGCATAAAAGGGGAAAGAGCGCACCTCCCACGGTGGGCCTCTTCACCTTCCACCTGAAGGAACGAAGTAGAGGCCCGGCCCTTCCTTAGATATCTCACATTTGAAGGTCACATGACCCGTCGACAACTCACCTTCACTCTCATCCTCAACCTTTCCACCTCACTCAACCAATTCATATTGCCCTACTTATTCACTAAGAGCCGAAGACTATTGCGGAAATCTTTTCTAGCCTTCGCCGAGGCCCTCTTACCGCGCCATTCTTATCAAAGGCCTTCATTCTTTCTATTCTAATCAGCCGCTTTGCTCTCTCCCTTCGACGCTTCACACAACCACGGCTTCCCGAGCTTCTTATCAGATCGCGAAATAGGTATCAAACTTCCCTCAATTTCCTATAATCGGTGTCGACATTACTCTCTCTAACAACACAACTTCTCACAGCCCCAACTTTCCACTATTCTCCAAGAGGCACAAATTCCTCAATACCCGAGCGTCTTCACCGCGCCGCGAGCTTTACTTTCCGGCAGAATTTTACTCCAACTCGCATAGCTTGGCCCTCTCATCGCATTCAGGCATTCAGACACCAAAGATTGGCCCAAAATGGCGAAAGATTCAGTTATCCCGATTTTCTCCTCTCCTGAAGACGAAGCCGCGATCGTTCCGTTGTCTCACAAGTCGAGCTCGAGACTGGCCAAGCTTTCTCCTTCCATCGAGAGAAAGAAGAGAAAGAAGTCGAAGCAAGGAGACGAGACCCCAGAGTCTCCAAAGTCTTTCAAGAAGCCCAAAATCAAGTTCCGCCCCTCGAGCAGCAAGCACCAGAAGAGGGGCAGCCCCAAGCCCATGACACCGTCCCCACTCGCAACATATCCCCTAGCTCGTAGGCCCAGTCACAGCTTTATAAAGCGCTCGACCATCGATAAAGAACGAAAGCCTACCGAACCAGACGTTGAGCCGCTTGTGACCGTCGAGGCTGGTGACACCGTCGAGGCAGATGACGCCAACTCGGAAGACAAGCCTATGGCTAGCACATCACACACAGGAAACTCGATCGCTGATCAGGCCTACGCGATCCCCGAGCAGCCCATAAGAGACAAGGCCAATCCCGACCTCAGCACCCAGCTTGCCCAGAAACTCGAGCCATCCACCCATGTGCCTGGGAAAGAGACACTGACAGATGATGATAACTGCTACATCTCCAAGGCTGCCTTCAACCTCCTCACAAGCCGCCATGTGACCTTGCAGCACATGGTCATGACGTTCATCGACTCTGTGAACGACTTGCAGACCACAAGCAAGGTTGACAGGAACATTCGCGACGGAATTCTTGCCGAGGCCAAGTCTCTCCAAATGGGTATCAAGGCAGTTTCCAATGCTGCATTCCAGCTTCCGTACGCCAATCGAACTGGCGCCGCCGCCAGAGCAGCTGCAGACAATACTGTTGGCATCCCTATCACAGGGAAGTTGGTTCGAACCGTAGGGTCCTGTGGTTAACGAAGTATCAATATCTCTGTATTGATTGATTCTGCGTAAGGAGTAGAAGGGAGATTCCAACCGGAGGTTGGGTGGGTAGTCGAGGTCTAAGTGTACCCCCTCGAGGTGGCCCATGCTCTGCCCCTACTCGCGGCCGAATTGGACTTCCAATCCGACAAATACCCTTGCAACCATCGATAAGTTCAACGAGAAGAAGAGAATTAACGCTGCAGTCAAGGCAGCCGCCGCCGCGCAGCAGGCTGCGGAAGAGGGGGCAGAGATGGCAGACAACGACGGCTCTGAGATTGAAGTCGAACCCGAGGATGAAGAGGAAGTGGAAGACATCGAGGAGGAGCAGACGGCCAACACTGATGGGGAACCAATGGATGAGTCGGAACAAATGGGCTAGCGGTCACCAAGCTCTAAGCCTTCAGACACACCTCTCCTCGGATAGCTTGAGGTGACACATGGTATACTGGTATAAAAGGTCAGTAAGGATGCACTGGTTTTGGAGTGCCTAGCTCCGAAAGTAGTGATCGGGCACAGCGAGTTATGGTATCCTGGATACGTGATTCAGGATGTGTACTCTAGCCAGAAATATGACTTTGGGATTCACGAGACGCCTGCTCCCATACTGCCAGTGACGGCCCCAACAGATCAGCCATGCCAGGGCTGAGGGCATCTTTAAGTTAAAATCCTGTTTCTTTCTCCCAACGCGCCCTCCATCGCAGGATTCCCGTGTCACATAAACGGAAGGCTAGAGAGAACAAACTAACTAAAATGGCAGAAATCTAAGTCAACTATTGTTGACCATGACCACAGAATCCTCAATAGCCCTCTTCAGCTTGTCCCTCGGAAAACCCGGTCCTTTCATAAGACACACCGCGCATCTCGACAAATTAGCAATCAGCAGCGTATTATTCAACTGCACCGTGAACGCCTTTTTTGACCGCCTCTGTAATGTTTGCGGGAAATAATCCACAAAACTCCAGCTCTCCGACGCCAAAGACCGTTTCTTACCCGAGGCCAACTTCAACGGCCCACTCAACGTCAGCCCCAACGTCTCCTTATCCACGACCCGAGCACCCAAAGCAATAAGCTGCCTCTCAACACCAGCAACACCTAGAAACCACGTCTGTCGAGCGTCCGCCAGTGCAGTCTTCTCGAAAAGGTCAAAGTTCCCTGGCGACAGGTCCTCTAAGCTGAACTCGTCGCCGTACCACCGTCCACCCATGGGTAATTCCGCCGCTTGTTGGAGCTCGTGCTGCCCTGGTCCAACGAGCCACCTCATCTTTGTGATCAGATCGTCTCTTTCGCGGTATTTGAGTGTTGAGCTGAAGATGCGAGGTTCCTCTCCGTGGGGGAGGGGTGACTCGAGGGACTTGCTGAGGACGAGGTAGCCTAGGGTAAAGCACGTGTGCGTGAGGCGGAAACTGAACAAGTCTGGACTGAGGGAGGTTGTTGAGCCGCAATGGAAGGTTCCGAGGGTTGGGGGTAGTGAGGTTGGGCGGCAGGCTAGGGATGTTAGGTGGGAGAGGATTTGGTCGTCTGGTGTGGGGGTTGGAGGTTCTGGTGCTGGGATGTTTGCCTGCGGACTCGATGCCACGTGGGCTGTGTCTTCAACACCGGCATCCTTCACTTGCATACCCGGAGAATTATCGTTCTCTGGAGAGGGACTAGGTACCGAGGCAAGTTTCGTTTCTCTGAGCTTCTTCTTCCTCCTCTTCGGAAGCTCATCCTCCAACGCCACAGCATCGTCTGCAAGTGCCAACACGTGCGCCACCATCTCTTGGATACGCGTCAAGACCCCAATCTCCTGCTTCAGCGCTTCAATGTCCAGCATCCAGTCGACCAACTCAACCACAGCGGAGCTCATCTTGGCGACCGTGGTTTCCAGGTGCTGCAGGCGGTGTGCCTGGATCTCTTCTGCCGCCTGCTTGCGCTTGCGGAAGACTTTTTGCGCTTCGCGGTTACGTTCTCGGCGCATCTGAGGGGCCTTGTTAGTCGGAATGCGCCGATGACATGAGACAACTCGAACTTGGAGACTACGAAAGTTGCATGAAAATAAGTCTGGCAACATGGGCTTGAGGTTTTTGGAGTGACAGCTTAAGTGAGATGACAACAAAGGGGGACCTCGGAAGTCCCTCCAACTCCTTCGGCAGCGGATTTATGACATAAAAGTTCCCGACGCCTGTCAGATTTTAGTCTAGCATCTCAAGCCACCACAATGTCTCGAAAGCCGACTAGCTTGATCCAAACGCCCTTCCACGGTGCTAGGGCCTCATGAATACTTCGAAACAGCATCTAAAGAATCTGAGAATAGAAACAGCGAGGTGCAGTTATGTGCAGATCACCCAAGATGCTCACTTTGAGCAGGTTGCCGAGGTGCCTCGGCTCATCTAGAAGTACACGGTAGTTATCGAACGGTCGATATGTGAAGTCGCTCATCCTACTGCTTAGGTTCTTTTGTGTTAGACTTTATTACCGATGCGTTTCGGGGTCACTTTACCGTGCGGTGCGCTAACATAATGCCTGTAGAGTTTCCCACGTATCAACGAGTGACATCAAGTTCTTACTACGTCTTGTCGGACATCTCCAAGAACGGAGCCCGCATCAACTGAGATTCTAGGCCCGGGATTGCACCAGCTTGTATTCCAGTCCAAAAGACCGGAAGCTGCCTTGACGTTATCACGTAAACCGGGCTGCGCATTGATGTTGGAGGTTCGAAGGGCGTGAGACGTTGAAGAAGGATGTTCACTGAGATAGGTTATAAGAAGATTCCAACATGCCATTTGGTGTCCTATTTGATTCTGATCATCAACTACTTAACTTTCATCATCACTTCGAGAGACAGGTAGCACCTCCAACATGGCAAACCCCGGTGAAGAATACAAGACTGCCTCTTCTCAGGGAACGGCGGCATACGCTGCGCCTTCGCTTTTCCAGCCTCATAAGGCGCGTCAAGCAATTCGAGACGCTCACGCAAAGAAGATCCCGCCACTCCTTTGCTACTATGCAGGGTTGAGCTCCATTCCTATTACCCGGTACTTAGCACCCATGGGCTTCGACGCCGTGTGGATCGATTGGGAGCATACTCCATGCAACACGGAAACCATGACGACGGTATGTTTGAGTTGCAGCCCTCCAGTATCCGAAAGATTGTTCTGACGTCGCTTAGATGGTTCACGAGGCTTCTTTCATGAGCCAAGGCCGCACCATTCCATTCGTTCGGTATGTCTGGCTGAGATTTCTTCAGATTCTTATGCTGATCTTCATTGGGCAGCCTCCCTGGTCACGATCACGCTGCTATTGGGTATGCTCTGGATGCCGGCGCTAGTATCGTCATCCCTCAGGTCGAAACGGTTGAGCAAGCAAAACATGCTATCTCCGCTGCGAAGTTCGGCACCGCGCAGAACGGCACGCGATCGCTTCCGCCTTTCCGCCTTGTACCTGGTTTCACCGATATCCCGTACGACCACCGCGATCTACACAAGTGTCTCAATGACCAAGCCGCCATCATGATTCAAATCGAGTCAGAACAAGCCGTCAAGAACCTCGACGAGATTCGACCGCGTGTGGTTCTGACATCGACATTGTCTGGTTTGGCACCCTTGATGCCCGAGTCAGTATGAACCTCGAAGCAAAAATGGGAGAAAATAGGCGCTTCGGAGCCTGAATGGGTCATGGTGTCGAAGCTGTTCTTTGATACCATCGATAAGCACGATAAACCCTATGCTGGATTTGCGTTCGGTGGTCCTCCTTATGGGAGTCCCGAAGTACTGAAGAAGGCTGCGGAGCGAATGAGTCTGGTGATGATCTCGGCTGATGTGGTTCACTTGGGTGCTATGGCGCAGGACTTGCAGCAGGCAAGGGAACTGATCGGAAAGACGAGGTAGGTGTACGTGGAAGAAACCGAGCAGGGAGTGCATAGAGTTGTGGGGTTTGCAGTAGAAGAGCATGTTTGGATTGAAGGGACTGAGTTTTGAAAATCATATATGCTGGTATTAATGCATGTACTAGTCCTGCTACTGTCTTATGCCTCGTTTTAATCGTATGCTGAGCTCAGCCCTTCTGGTCAAATTTCTAGCAATTGGCAACGACATCCTGTCCAGCCTTGACAGACTTGTCAAGTCCCGCTTGCGCATCAGCGACAGCTTGGTCGCTCCTACATGTAGTGTTAGCCATCGCAATTCTGAACTTGCATACAACGAGGAAAGGGCACTTACGCATCACCACCAGAAAGAGCGGTGCCAGCCGCAGCCAGGCCAGCCGCAACCTCGTCACGGCTGGCCGCGGGTGGTGCATCGCCGCTGACAATGGACTTTGCAATTTGTGAGATGCCGCCTCGTGCTTGTTGGAGGCCAGCGTTGGCAGCGTCCTGAACTGTGGTGTCGGTGATTTGGGAGACGGCGTCTTCGGTGTTGCCGAGGGCGCCTAGGATCTGGAGTCGTGCGACGTTGCATGAGAGGCTGCCGAGGTTTCCAAGAAGCTGACGTCTTTCGATGCTTCCTAAAGGCGGTAATCTGATTAGAAAAAGCTTGGATGGCCGTAGATTTCGGAAGATGAAATTACTCACTTGCGCTGGCGAGAGTGGCGCTGGTGGCCATCAGGAAAGTGACGAGAACTTGTTGGGCGTACATTTTGGATGACTTGGGATGAATCAAAGGGGTATCTTGGCAAAAAACGTGAAAGTGAACACAGAGTACTTTGAATAAGCTTAAATAAAGATGACACCAGGTCTAAAGAAGAAAAGTTGCTGTATCGGATGGCAGTTTCGTTGTTGATGAGTTGAAACTTAGTGACAAGAGCTGACAGCGACGCGACAGGTGCCATCTTATAGTTGAGTTGACAGAAGCGCTGCATCGTGTGGCCTGAGATGATGCGATGACCGCCTTGGAAGGCCTGAAAGATGGCTGAGCACCTGTGCCACCTGGGCATGACCGGTTTCGAAGATCGAACGAAGTTTCAAAACATGGGAATGAAGCGACCCTGCGAGCTCCTCGGATGAACCCCCTGTTCTCCTTGGCCAGGGTCTCTGGTGTATTTGGTGGGGATGCCAGGGAGGAGGAACTCCAAAATCCCACGCTTGGAAACCATCGCCAATTCGATTCGTCGGGGGGGAGTATTTGAACCTCCTTGAAGATCAAACCACCTGGCGGGGGATATGCAGTCAAAGAAATATCGCGATTGGTTGCTCATCTTCTCTTCAGGGGATATGATCTCCGGATCCGACACTCTTCCATGGACGGCGCAACTGAATTTCACATCATAAATCCAAATGTTAAGGCCCACGAAGTCGCTTCGGTATCCCACGTCATAAAATAGCATTCGCCTGTTAGCGCGTTTTACCTAGTCTTATAGAGCACCTCTTAAGCTCAATACCGATCGTTGCTGGTTGAAGAGTCTCCCCCCATTTTAAGATTGGGCTCTTGTGGACACTCATCTTTTAACCTTAGTACACTTCTGCACTGCTGCCGCTAGCAATTTAGTCGATAAACCGTCAAATGCTTTTAATGACACTCCAAAGAGCACAGGAGTATTGAGCAACGACTTTGATAGCCTTTTGCGATGGAGACAAAGTATCTCCAATGTCCTCCAGTTACTTCGCTGCTGTTGATGAAATGATGCACATAAGACGCTCTCAGCTCTTAGTGGTGGACTGAAGATCTGGCTTAGCTGCATGGAACCGAACCAATCATGTTCCCTCCCAAGATAACAAATCATCTTCTTTTCGAATGACTTGAGCTCAGCTGACGATCGCCGCCCCGACCTTGGCATCCAACTACATCTTGCCCGACGCGCGCCTCTACCACGCAGCCGACTTAAGATGTGGCTTATTGACACAGATAGCCTCAAACTCGTCGAGGTGCAGGGCGACCCCCAGGAGGAGTATGCGATATTGTCTCACACCTGGGGCAGCGACGAAGTCACGTTCCAAAGCTTCCAAGCCCTCGGTTTGGCCTCGGACACGGCACCCGGTCCGGGGTCGGGCTCCGCGGATGCGGCCGACCAGATCCGCTCCACCAACGGCTTCCGCAAGATACGAGATGCAGCAAATCTGGCCAAGAGGCATCGTCACCGCTTCCTCTGGGCCGATACGTGCTGCATAGACAAGACTAGCAGCGCCGAGTTGTCGGAATCCATCAACTCCATGTACCGTTGGTACGAGAAGGCCGCCATCTGTTACGCTTTCCTCTCTGACGTGGAACCTGTTTCCGGGCAGAGCCCGTTTGCCAAGGATTCGAGTTTTCAGAATAGCCGATGGTTTACTCGAGGATGGACGCTGCAGGAACTCATCGCGCCAAAGACTGTTGAGTTTTATGCTGGGGACTGGTCTTACATCAACACGAAGCAGTCGAGAAAAAATTTTTGCCAACTGCTTGCTAGAATTACTGGCATTGACGAGCAGGTGCTCTCTGGGACATCTTTCTTGAGCGACATCAGCGTTGCAAATAAGATGCGATGGGCTGGACATCGGCAGACGACACGCCCGGAAGACAAAGCATACTGTTTGATAGGATTGTTCAAGGTGAACATGCCCCTGCTCTACGGCGAAGGTGACAGAGCTTTCACCCGTCTACAAGAAGAGATTCTCAAAGAGAGCGATGACCAGTCCTTATTTCTCTGGGGGATGCCGGCGGACACTCAGCCCGACTCGGACGACTTGTTTGGCTTGCTTGCGCGTTCGCCAAGCTCGTTCTCAATGGTAGATTTTGACCATGTTCGACCTCTGCCTCCGTCAGAATCCCAAGATAGTGCGCCAACCAGTGTCACTAATCAAGGGCTCAGAACAAATATACTTCTCATCCCACGACAGACAGATGGCGATGAGTACTACGCTCTTTTGGACTGCATTGTCTCTAAACCTGAATTTGTCACCGAGGAACTGAGCCCTTGCATCATTCTTCAACGCCTTTGGAGTGACCAGTTTGCAAGGGTTGCTTCTGAAGAGGGCTCCGTAATTCTTTTCCCTCTAGACCACTTCGATGACACTGAGGGAACTTACGAGAACATCTACGTCAAGGAGAATCCGTTCTACGCTCTTCCTGAACTGAGTGTCAGGACAAGGCTTCGGCCCAGCTCGAAGGATTCTGTTTCACACTTGGCCTTCACCATTCACGAAGCATATCCTCCGGAAAGATGGGATACCACTCTGTCCGTAATTCGGACCAAAGAACCACAGTCGAATCGCGCAATGGTCGTTTTGCGTTTCATGTCGCTTGAGCAGAGTCAGCGATCAGTTGTAGACGTTGCCATTGGGCTCCGTCGAGTCCGGAGACGGTGGGAAGTCTGTTATGAGAAGCACCCTTACACCGGTAACAGCCTCGAGTCTGTCTATCTGGAGTTTCCGCAAATTGCCACTGCTTCGGAAGGCGGTGCAGCGTACCAAAACTCCAAAGGCTTGGGGTTCATCACTATCGACGCCAAAGAGTCCCAAAGAAGAGGCCGACGTTTCATCCAGTTGGAGGTTTCTGGTACATCTGAACTTCTCTTTGCTCCAAGTGATGAGGGTACTCTACCAAGTACAACTGGAAGGATAGTAGAGCCGCCAGAACCTGTGGTAATGTTTGACGAGGTCGGCGCCGTCACACGCTGTTGTTGCTACCAAGACAGGTTTACCCTCATGCTTTCTCCGACACTTTCCATACAGGGAGGGGTGAGAACAAAGATGGAAGTCAACATCGCTGTTCGATTCGGAAATGAGCTTCACGCTGTCAAGATTGAGCAAAGCAAGCCGTACGCCGATTTGATTCGGGCTGTTCGGGCGCGAAATGATAGGGACGTCCAGGCTCTCGTGAAACAAAGAAGAGGTATTCTCGAGCTGCAGACAGAAGAGTTTGACAATTTCAGAGCTATCCACTGGGCCGCAACTCTTGGTTCACTGTCGATGCTCAAGACGTTGATGAAGCTACGTGTGGATACCACAAGCCGAACCCGAAGTGGTTTTATGGCTGTCCATCTCGCAGTACTTAACGGGCACTTCAACCTTGCTGCATATCTGTTAGAGGAAGAGAGAGAGTCAAATCTCAAGAAACGACCTGATATCCTACAAGGGATCACAACAGAGGTCTTGCAAGCGGATGACGAGATCGAGTTTTACTCTGGAACAGACCCCGACATTCTACACAAGTTCACAACCAAAAGACTCGAGACGATTCTTCATCTCTTCTCCGCCTATGCGCCTACCGGACTGGCAAATCACAGAATACGGAAGATTATTGACCTGATCAAAGAGGACTTCCTCGGTTCACACTCGTTCCCACACATCAACGACCTGGGCGAACTTCCACTCCATCGGGCAGCAGCCACCGGCAACATGCAAGCGGTAGATGCACTGACCAAAATGATGGGCACGACCAAGCACATTGACGCCAGAGACAATGCCGGACGATCTGTGCTCTTCCACGCTGCGTGCGGTGGCAACAAGGAGGTTATCCGCGGCCTCGCCGACCTGGGTGCCTCGATAGACGTCGGCGACGATTACGGTCGCAGCCCGTTACACGCCGCCGTCATGGCCGACCAACCATCAGCTGCCAACGCGCTTCTCAAATTGGGGGCGAAAGCGGACAATGTCACCCATGCACTCGGTTTGACCCCCTTGCATTTCGCATGTCTTTATGGATCTATCGGCTGCACCTACGAGCTCCTGAAGAGTGACGGGTCAGGACCAGCGGACTTCAATTGGTGGTCAAGCGGCGAATACGTTTTCTTCCAGCCGATACATCTGGCTGTGGCTAATGACCACATTGAGATTGTGACTCGGCTTGTGATGCTGGGATGCGACCTAGAAGGCCGGTGCAACGGGTATCTGAAGCTTGAGAAAACTGATGTTCCCGACGGCCGAGTGGGCAGATTGGTAAGGCTAGATTCACCGTTGACAGCTCTCGATCTAGCCATTGTTCTTGGCAAGAAGGATATGCTGCCAGAGCTACAGCAGACCAATGCTGCTCGACGGTACGAGTAGAGACTACCTGGGAGTTTTCAGGCTTGAAGGCAGGACTAGCCGAGCCGTGAGATTATCTCGGACTTCGCGTAGGAGCATAGAAGCTTAATCTTAAGCGTGTCTGACCGCAAGTAACCGGTCAGAACAATACCTAAGAGCGGGTTAATGTTCATCCCAACGGCCTCTCAGGCTCTCAACAATCCGTACCATAATGGATTCGAAAGTTTCCTGATGGTAGCAATAAAGGAGCAAAAGTGCCCGGCGCAGCCTCCCATAGCCTCATTCGACAAATCTCAACCGATGTTTCATTGGCCGCCAACTTCATGACCAAGCGATTTGACATGGTCGCGGTACCCTTCGGATGGTGAATAACATCAGGTTTTGCTGAAGAAGAGACCCTTCAGCCAACGACACAGCAAGACTACTGCGAAAACTCCATTTCGCCCAGCCTTTTTCTCCACATAGTCCGCTTCGAACTGCCCTGCCATCGCCATCATGCTCGCTTTCCAAGAAGCTCGCTTAACACTGCTGTTGCTACTTGAGGGAGACAAGTCCGGCTTGGCGGGTTGAATTTGAGTTCGCCAAAACATGCGGTATGAGGTATTTTACTAAAGAAAAACAGAAAGTTTACACGATCTGCTTTGTCAGTTGCCTAATGCAATGGAGACCCTCGTGTTCAGCCTCCGCTGCCCAGTATGCTTATATTGCGAGATCCACCAAATTGCAACCATCCTTCCCATATCCAGTTAGCTCTACCCAGTTTTGCGGAGTGCCAGCTTTCCAGTACCGAGATTTGATAGTTGGACAAGTTTAGACGAGGATTATCAATCGCATCTTATCAATCTCATCGCTCGAATCATGTAAGTAGTTAATAGCTCTGTCCTCTTGCCCGACGTCGTACGGTTCTCGGTTCTTCAAACTCTTGGTTGAGTGTCTGTCCTTGCTTCTTTGAACTCCATCCCTCTCTTTTATCCACCATGAAGTTCATCACCTTGAGCTCGGCGCTCCTTGCGCTGAGCGAGACGGCAGCAGCCCGCCTGAGCCTCCGGAGCAACACCACGACTACCCGCAACACTACCTACGACTACATCGTCGCGGGCGGTGGCACTGCGGGTATCGTGGCCGCCGAACGCCTCGCCAACTCGGGACGCAGCGTGCTCCTGATCGAGCGCGGCGGCACCTCCTTCTACATGATCGGCAACAACAAGACTATGCCGTGGAACAACACCGTTACCATGTACGATGTTCCCGGTATGGCTGACTTCACCGGTGCCTCGCCGGACCTCCAGTACTGCAGAGATCTCGCCATTGCCGCGGGATGTCTGCTCGGTGGCTCCACGATGCTTAACGCGATCATGTACATCAAGCCTCGCTCCGCTGACTTCGCGACATGGCCTGAGGAGTGGCATTGGGAGAATGGTGTCTCGGATGCCGCGGAGGAGTTCTACAAGCGTCTCCCCGGATCTATCCTGGCGTCGGAGAATGGCAATCGTTACGACGACGGTGCCTTTGAGGTTATGTCCAAGTTCTTGGATGCTCATGGCTGGAGCGAGCAAGATGCTCTGAACGACCCTGAGTCCAAGGAGCTCATGTACTCGCACCCTGCGTGGTCGGTAGGTGGCAACATTTCCAACCTACTCATCATGAATGTTGCTAACACACCTATCTTAGATCGCTCACGGCCTGCGTGACAGCCCCGTCCGCGCAATCCTCCCCAACTTCACCCTGGAACTCCACTCCATGGTCCTCCGCGTCATCCGCGACGGCAGCCTCGTCACCGGCGTTGAGGTCGAGCACGACGGGGTAGCCCGCGAGATCATTAAGCTCAGCAAGGGTGGATCCCTCATCCTCGCCGCCGGCTCTCACTCCACCCCTCGCGTCCTCTTCAACTCCGGCATCGGCCCCGCCAAGCAGATCGACATCGTCGCCTCCGGCACCACCAACATCCAGTTGCCGCCCAAGGAGCAGTGGATCGACCTTCCCGTCGGCGAGAACCTCAAGGACCACGGCATCGCGACCGTCACCTTCACCACAAAGGAGGAGCTCATTGCGCTCCCTAAGACTGCGTGGACTGACCCTGACCAAGAGACTGTTGACCTCTTTGCTCAAGGCAGCGGTCTCATGGCCCAGGCTGGTCAACGTCTGAACTTCTGGACCAGCGTTAACACTACCGACGGTGCTACTCGTCACGTTCAGGGTACTGTCCGTGCAGACAGCAACAACACCATCGGCGTCAAGGTCTACCTGACCCATGGCACCACCTCCACCGGTACCGTTGAGATCACGCCCAGCGGAGCGACCAACATGACCAAGAACCCCCTCATGCACACTGAAGGCGATAAGGAGGCTCTCACCACCTTCGTCGACCAGCTCCTCCAGTGGGCTCGCGAACCCAACAGCATCCTCACCGTCCCTGAGAACGCTACCGCTGAAGCGCTGGTGGCTGCTATCGGTGGTGGAAGCCATTACCTGGGCACTACTCAGATGGGTACCGCCAACGATGGCAAGAGCGTTGTCGACCCTGATACCAAGGTTTGGGGCACTGACAACCTCTTCGTTGTGGATGCTAGCATGCACCCCGAGGTTCCTACCGGTAACACACAGGCCCCCATCATGGTGGCTGCTGCTTATGCCGCCAAGAGAATCTTGGATCTTGGCCTCAACCTTGGCTGCTAGATTAACTCACGATCACCAGATAAGGTGGCGATTGAGATTAAGTTTGGGATGTGATACCCCATTTGTACAAATAAACAACACATGGAGTTGCCAGTACTCGTAAAGTTTCAATGTTAATCCCGTAGAACATACTCTTCCTCACTTCCCTTGAGTGCACAGACAGTACGTCATTGTAATATTGTTGGGATGGTTTCTGTCGTCATAGATCAGATGCGAAAACCCTCTTCTATATGAAGTAATGACAAACAGACGCAAAACCATGCTTTACTCCCCGACTAACGGTGGGAAGAAGCCCAGGCGTCCGGAGAATTGCAGGACTGCATCACGAGATTGATGAGTTCTCCAGTGCTCAGATATTTCCCCCATCTCGGCTACTGTTATGTCATACCCGTAAATCTCGATCTAATATCCTATAATGCAGTCTTCCGGCTCCTTATATCAGAATCCGAATTCAGTTGCGCTGTGCTAAAACTACCTACCTCGAGACAGTAATCTCCTTGGAATCTCAAACGTTTATTTTAGACATAAGCATGTACTAGGCGCTCTACAGGACTACCATTGTCGGAACATGTTATTCAGCGCATTAGAATGAGGGATTTGCAAGAGAAGGATGGGCGTACATCATATTCAAATAATGTCGTATGGTCACAATGTGGGCATCGAGATGTTTGATAGAGAACGGTTCTCCATTGAAAGTAGAGAATAGGTAAGAGGCTTGCTCTGAAATAGGTGATGCGAGCGAGTGTGGGCCTCGGTGATTATGTAACCGAGGTCACGTGACGGGTAGTGAGGCCACAGATGGTTGAAGCCATCACGACAAATAAAAAGCCAGAATGAAATGTTAGGCTTGTGTCAATTCCGCAGATGTGCTCCATGTTATGACAATGCATCTAAGCCCTGGACAAGGTCTCAATCCTCGTCGGCTTTCTCCATGTTTTGTGACTTGTTGTGCTCCTTCATTATCTGGAACTTGATGAGCACCATTTCATTATCCCATCGAGTGCTGACTGACGCCATTTTTGCCAAGGGCGGGGTAGAGCCAATTAGGGGTTGGAAATCTATAGAGTTAACCAATAGGGTTACAGTACCTCTATTGCCTACATATTCTGCGTATGCCAGAGGTACCAACAATTCCCCTGGGTACATAAAGGTACGTTACAGTCTAAGCAGCCCTTCCTCGTATATTTACGCCGCGTGAGGGTATTCCCAGATATCTCGCCTAGAGTCTGGCGGTTTCTTATTGCCCTCAGATTACTACAATAAGAGCAAGGCGAATTAACCTTCCGTGACCCTTTTGTATGCTGTTCCCAGCCAGCTTTCCAGCAGCTGGCCCGGCTGGCCCGGCGGGCTGGCTGGGCTGGGCGGGCTGTGCCTCGGGAACCAATGCGTATGGGCCCTTTCCGTGTACGTGCCACAGCCACCGTATACAGTAGCCAGACTGGGCAAGGATCCAGATCTTATACCCAGTTGGGATGGGTTTCGTTTTAATCGTCGTTGTCTCAAGAGACCGACCCTCAAATCGGACCATAGCCTCGTCAACTGTAAGATCTGAACCAGTTGTATAAAAGGAATCCCCAGTCTTTTGGATATGGGCTGACCACTGGTTAAGCTTTTGGTATACATCGGGCATTCGATCCCGGGTCTGGCCCCGGCCCCCTCGTTGGCTGGGCTGGACGGGCTGGCTCGGCTGGCTCGGCTGGGCCTGGCTGGCCTGCGCCCGGCCCCGGCCCCGGCCCTGGCCCCCGCGCTGGACGGGCTGGACGGGCTCGTCGGGCTGGCTGGGCTGGAATTCCGCAGTATTGAATATCCGCAGTCGCCGGAACAGTAGTTGGAAACGGTCCCGGGATATAAACCGCGTAAATAGGTGGATGGGATCCTCCCTCTGCTGTTGGGTTGACCAGTAGGTTGATAATCTAGATTCCCTATGGATCCCTATATATAATAAGATCCCGAGGAAGAGGTAGATCTCTTCTATTGAGGTCTCCCGCCACTTATACACTCTAGACGTTCTAAGCCAGGGGCCCTCTTTAGACGACGGCGGTGCTGTATTCGTCCACTGGGCCCACTGCTCCACGAGGTCTTGCGGAACGTATTGGAGGAATAGTTCCAGCGGGCTTGCCGGCAGCCCCCGGACCTCTTGGGCCCGGGCTGGTACTTCAAAGGGCCGGAAGGAGCCCGGAGGGCCATGCTCGGTAGCCGGAGGTTCACAGGGCCGGACTGTGGCTTCGTCACAGCCGTCTGGCTTACAAGCTGTATTACAAGCAGCAGCTAGGTCTTCTGGGTAGACCTCAACTACTATAGTGCTGAGTACAGAAGTAACAGAAGTTTTAGAAGCAATAGAGGTATTGGAAGCAATAGAGGTATCAGAATCACTAGAAGACATTGCAGCATCAATTGAAATGCTAGTAATAGTAGTGATAACAGGTAAAAGAGCATAGTGGTAAATGTTGTATCGTCAATGTACCCCTTTAAATGCGGGGTAATAAAGTGTAAATAGTGGGGATTTTGGGGCTTGGCAAAAATGGCGTCAGTCAGCACTCGATGGGATACCTCTGCTCAAGTAAAGATTCCCGATTCGTAGCGTCAAGTACGATTGCAAGTGCATCGTCCGAAGCCACATCTACCGCTCGTTGCACAACTCGTGGGTTTCTTCGCTCGAGCTTCGCCTTGGTGTATGCCGCGCATCTCCGGGAGAGATGAAAGAGACATTCATCATCACAGGAGCTGTTGAACTGTCTGACGCGAATTTCGTACAGATGGGATGTACTGTCCATGATATCGTGCAGCCTACGTCGTGCTGAGCGGTTGAGACTTGGAACTGTGTCGTCGTTCAGCTCGGACATGAGCGCCCACGTAGCCAGTCTAAGAACATTATCAAAATTTCCGTTCCCATGAACGTTGAAATTCGCGTACAAGTTCCATTCAGGCCCCGAAGGATCACCGATGTCAGAAGCAGCCGAGGACGGAAGAAGCGGCGGGGCGAGTAAGATGATTGATATCTCTCTGCACATTTTCTGCGAGTAGGAATACGGCGAGTCGGTGCCTTTGCTCACAATCTCATACGACCGATTAAGTTTCAATATATCACAAAGCGAGGTAGCAAGTGGAAGACATGTATAGTAGAAAGTGGCTTGATTCCTCTAAGTGGAAGATCCGTATGAGGGTCATATCACCGTACAAGACGGGTAATCGGCTTGTGGAAAGCGGTATCGTACGGCAGTAACCGGCAGCGCCACGTGTGGCGCTGCGACACAATACGAATGGAAGAGTGAATGAATCCACTAGCTTCCTCTGGAAACTTGCTGGGTAGGAACTTTCGGGTTCCGGGGGTTTGGTTTTATTACGCCAAGACTTCATCAAGTCATTCCCCAGTCGAATGCTTTGCTCAGAGTCCCTTGACGACTCTGGGACGCTGAGAAGTTTCAAGATTCGAATCCTAAGTCGTTGTATTGCGCCAGTGTTCTCAGTGCCGTTGACGGCGAGAAAGGTGTCGACACTCTCTCCAGATTGGGGGTATTTACACCGCAAGATGGCGGCTCACAGTCGAAGTCTTCAGGAGAAATCGGCGCCGGAAGCCCCCGATCAAAACAATATTGTAGTGACAACTCGAGCATGGTGGCCCACAATCGTCTTCTGAGTTCGAGTTCCGTTGTTGGCATCGAAGGACACCGCTGTCTCGGATCTCGGTACAAGCCCATTTGCATCCCAATCGGCACCATGCCAAGGCTTCGCGAGGGTTCAAATAGTTGAGCCTTGGGCGAATGTATGGCACTGATGTGTCGGGCTAGGGCGAGTAGACAAAGACCTTGGGCCACGTTGAGGTCGCTCAATGGGCCGGGCTGCATTTGCTGAGCTATCAGATCTTCCGCCTTGTCGAACCACAGCCTTACGCGATGCTGTAAAGACGTAGCCCAAGCTAACCCGGAGCCTTGGAAGTCTTCCGTCTGCTGACCATACCGAGTACTAGATCCTAAAGCGAAAACCAGCAACAGCTTGGAGACGAAGAGGTTATCTAGTATTGTCGCCGAAGATCCACGATTCTCCCAGAACTGATTGTGATTGTCGAGGAAGCTCTGAATCTCAAGAATGTCGGAAACTGATCCGAAAGTCCTGAAATAGGCGCTGATCAAAACGTCGCAGGTTTCTCTTTTGGGTATCAGACATGTAACCCAAATTGCTGAAGACAGACCCTTCGGTATCCAGGGTAGTTCTTTCCCATCTCCTTTATCGCCCTCTCGCTGACTTTCTTGTTCCGATATCACAACTTTGTTGGAAAGAGCCCCTCGTGAGGATTCTGGTTGCAAGTATTGTTGGCTGTTGGTCTGCTCCAGTACCCCAGACTGTTTGCCGAGACGTTGAGCGAAAGCGCGGACGCGCCGCGCCAGGGTAGAGTTTGTGGACGGGAGAAAGATGGGGGAATAGCAACCGGGCAGGCCAACTTGAGGTGGTAATAGGGGTCGCCTCAGCCACAATCTGATAGGCCATATCGGGTGCCCAGCCACAGGACCTGGGCCCAGGCCCATCGAGTTGTGGCAACTTGTTGATAAGAAACCTGACAGAATCCATGCATGCTTCTACGCGAGTCATGGACATAACCCATTCGGAATGGTCTGACCATCACGAAACAGGCCAGACTGTCATTTCCACCTGTTCCTAGCTCTGCAAGACTTATTAGGATAGCATTAGGCCCACAAGCCTGTGGTGATTCCATCCACTCTTTAGTACGAATAGACGCTCTTTTCTGCTCACTCAGATATGCATATTCCGCTGGCCACCCTGACTAACCGTCAAAACCCATGTTATCTGTAGACATCTTCCCGCAAGTTCTTGAAGGCTAAATTGACGGTCCATGCTGTAGCTGTAAGTCTGGTAAAAGAGGACTTAGACTTGCCCGTGTAAGACGGCAGCTACCAACGTTGAGCTAATTTTGACAAATTGAACTTTTCGGCAATGATGGATGGTTTCAGTTCATCGCTCTACGGTTAGCTTTCTGCTAAAGAAAAGTCACACCTGCGAGGCATCTAAGTAACAAGGACACTGAAACCATCAATTGTTAAGGATATTATTAACACTTTGTAGACATAATATCATACTCCCTAGGGTGCCGGCGGCAAACACCGAGTAGTGTCTACGATCGCCGTTCCCAACTTCATTACACAATACATGTATGCATGCATAGCCAGATGAGCTGCTGCCAATCTCTCTATTCGTGTCGCTGCCCTTTTCGGCGCTGCGTCGAGTCTTACGATGCATACCTTACGACGTATCCAGACCTGGCGAGGATGATCTGCCTCCCTTACCTACCTACTTGTCAGTCATAAATGGCACCGTCGTCCATTGTATGATGTGCCAGGCTCGGGACTAGTCAATCTTGCTGTTGTGCTTGTTTGGCAGCTAACCTCTGAGGTGCACTTTACTCCGGAGGTAAGAATGTCCATAGCAGGATCGGCCCTTCGCAACGTTAAAAACCGTCTCTGTCGATTTGAATTATCACAATACGAAGATGTAGCCACGCCGCCACAGTTTTCGGAGTTGTCTCTTTAAGTATAAATGGCTGTCCAAAGTACCAGAGTCAAAGACGTTTAAGACAAAGAGATTCCACTATCCCATCAAGTGTGGGATGGCGACAGTACATGCGAGTCCGGGTCAGCAGCAATTATACGTTCATCAGTCCATGTCCCTATTTCACTTATACCCGTCCATCAAACATCTAAAAGGGAGCAGTCTTGTATAAAGACTGGAGATGTATGTACTGTCGCCATTACGCACTCAAAGGAGACATCCACAAACTTCAACTAAGCATGACCCCTAAGCCTCCACCGCCCAAGCACCCAGCTCCACTCCAGAAAATACACTGAAGTTGTAAAGCCTAGCTATCTGACAGTAGGGTCAACTAACACAAGTAGGTGATCGAACCTATAGATCGCATATTGTACGCGGTTCTTAAACGTAATTTGCTTAACGGATCAGCTGCTCAGAGGTCATGGTGATCAGCCTTAGGCTCAGCATGACAGTTCTCAGTAAACGTAGGCGGAGAGTGGTACAAATACCATTTTATTCCTGAAGAGCTATGGACTCCTAGCCTTGAGAAAGGCTCAGGTCACACTATATACAAGTCATACAGAACCATTACTTTATAGATGAGCGTTGGTTCCTGACACACCAAGAGCGCTCATCCTGAGGTTGGATGCACGCTCACTCTAGTATTCACTGAGTGCTCATCATCCTTCCTTGCTAGTGCTCATTTCTTAACGTCATGTGACCTGTAAAAGAGTCCTTTCGTTCCTGAGCAGTCCCCGTTGTTCCCGTGATCCTGCAGGATAAATGTCTTGTCGTAGCCGCTTGACGCCAGAGTGGGTCGGTCAACTGTCATCCCTGCATAACGGGTCGGAACCAACGTCTTGGGACTCGCTCAGAATTAAACCCAAGCCCAGGAGTATGCGTTCAGGTTTCCGAAACCACCGGAGAAGACACAGGCTATTGTAATGTTAGATTGATTCTGCAGTATTGTTTCATCCTATATCCTTACTCTTGAGGTAATGGCCTCCTGCGAAGTTGAAGAGGTTGCTGCTGAAGAAGGGTGTCGATCCGCCAATTCCCTCATCGACTTCGCCAGGTTCTCCGAGGTAACGGATCTTGTCGACTTGGATCGGGTTGCGGTTCACATCATAAACGATTGTCCCAAGGTGATGGTTTCCTCCACTCTTAACTGTCGTGGAAGTGCAGCCTTCCTTGTTTCCGTCTGGGCTTGTCTTCCACAACACAAGGTCACCAACGGGAATGCATTTGGCGTAGCTCTTTCCGGAGCTGAGGCGACGCTGGACACAGATTTCGCTGGCGCCGCAAGGTGTGTCCGTAATCTTCTCACGGTTGCTGCGAGGGTTGGCAACGCAAAAGCTACGAATCGTGTTGGATTTGAAGCAGATCGAGCGGTCATAAGTCTGTCCAGCAGGACAAGCGGTGTTGGGGAGCGTGTCTCTAGCGACGAGATCGGTCAAGTTTGCGTTCAGCGGTTCCAACTCGGGGGGAGTGATGTCGACATAGCTGAGCGTGTGCTCGGGCGAGCCAGTCAGATCTCTGACTTGAGCGAGAGGTCCAGCTGCGCAAGCAGCGGCAAAGACAGTGGTGAAAAGAATGTACTTCATGTTGAGTGGAAAAGATCTTCGGATAAGCGATTGAGATAGACGTGAGTGTGATGAGGTGCTCATGAAGCTGAAGGATGGAATATTGAAGGTCTTTATATATTCTCATGCCAACTCGATTCAACGCCTGTTGGAGTTGATCCCTTTAGGCTCACAGCTGTTTACCATTGAAGAGAAGACACTGGTTCCGGATATCCGAACATCATCACCGAAACTTTCGTCTTATGGCGTAGTTGGTTGCCCCGACCTGCTTGCATCATGAAGAATACTCTATCTAAGTTCTCGGTATTTCGGTCTACGTCATGCTGCACAAGCTCTGCTCTTTTGTGTTCGTAAGTAATTAGCGTTTCTCAATTTGATAAATTTTGCTGGCGTCCTCGTCCACGATCTGGTTGAAAAGTTGTTATAGCAGTTGAACTAGCTCTAACTGAATTGGAGTCATAGTTCAAGTAGTAGACCCATAAATACGAGCAGATTGAGGCAACTAACTACATCACGAGACAAAAGTTTTAATAACAATAACTTCAGCACCATCATTCTTTTTCTTATTGAACAGCTATGCGCCAAAAGGGATTAAGTACAACGGGGATGGCACCGACCACAACACCGCGCACCCTGCCCCCGTCGCCCGCACGTTAGAACACAAGGGGACAATCACAGAGACTGCACTCAACCAGCCTTGAGGGAACACACTGAGTACTGCTTCGTAGAGTAATAGGAAAAGGTAGTGGACCTACTCGTTGTGTCAGTATCAGTAGCAAGGGCGGTGTGGCATGCTGCGTTGCGCGTAGTCGGAAGTTGCGGATGAACGGTGATTAGACGGTGCTTTCAAAAGTTTATATCGTCACTTTCGAGTCACGAACGGACCCCATGTTTTGCAGTAGCTTGTTCATTGCTTATTGGGGGCTGCCCCACGAATCAGACAATACTGACATGCTCTAAGTTGCGGACGTCCAGATTAGGACTTTGCTTCTCGGGCAGAGTAGGAAGGCCTTGTCTGAGTGAATACAAACGTGAGAGTTAACACTGCGCTCTTCAACAATAGGAGAGAAGTTGCAAGAGTTGCAAATACATTTGCACTATACTGGCATCTTGACATAACGGCTCTTCTCATAAAATCAAAGGCTTGTTTTCAGCGCTCAAGAGACATAAAAAATCATGCGCCGGGGTAGGCTATCATGGTTAATTATCGGATGAACACAACTCGGGGAAATCTTTCCCATTGTGGACCGTGGACGATATTTAGCATTGCAAAGGAATGATGCTTTTCATGGTTTAAGTTATGTTGAGTGAGGTGCTGTCATCAATAAAGTAACTTTGAAGCTAAGTCTTGATAGTCGGAGTCAACTCCTTAGATTACTGACGGTTAGTCAGGGTGGCCAGCGGAATATGCATATCTGAGTGAGCAGAAAAGAGCGTATATTCGTACTAAAGAGTGGATGGAATCACCACAGGCTTGTGGGCCTAATGCTATCCTAATAAGTCTTGCAGAGCTAGGAACAGGTGGAAATGACAGTCTGGCCTGTTTCGTGATGGTCAGACCATTCCGAATGGGTTATGTCCATGACTCGCATAGGAGCATGCATGGATTCTGTCAATTACCAAGCCGCTTATGGCTAAGCTTTGAGGCTCGACTAGAGCGCTCTGGAACTTCTGTAGAGTTTGCGCTGCGGTGGATCTGACCACAAGAGGAGAGAGTATGCAAAGTCAATTCACCACTATGTTCCTCGCACTTACTCCGTACTTTCAATCCGATCCCCGGACCCCAACGGTGGACAAGTCGGTTATTGTCCCGAAAGAGGGCCTCAGGATCCGGGGATCCCCTGTGGGCAGTACACACTGCACATCTGGACCAACGAGGCAAGCAATGAGGCAATACGACTGGTATTGACGGTTGGTTGGTGATGTTGTGGTGAAGGTGGCTGCGGTGGGCTGGATCAACCAGGAGGTGGATCAGGCAGCTGGTGCCTGGGGCACCAGCCACTGCCTCAGGTATCCCCAGTCCCACACCGCCCCTCAGGCCACCAAGGCCAGCCACCGCAAGTGATATCTATCATACAATAATGGGATCAACTGTCCCTGGGCTGAATTGATCAAGTCCGAGGAGTTTGACGATTCAAATCAAAATCCGGCATCGGAAGGGGTTGTTCCGCTTCCGGCCGTGGTCTGGCAATCCCTCCGACGTCCTCCGCATAACCCATCCTTCTAGTAATCCATTCCCATACCGCCCCTGAACAGTCCATCTATCCCTTCCGTCCATGTTCACCATCCGCGATGGCTAGTGGTGAAAGTATCACGGTGTCAATTGCGTAGGTTAGGTGCCTGGACAAGGCCAAGGAGCTGAAGGAAGGCCTTGTGCTTGTCGTAGGTAAGTGCCTTCGTGAGGCCATCGGCCGCCATCTCGTGGGTTCTTATAAGGCGTAACTCGAAGTTATTCTTCTTGACTTGGTCAATAATCCACTTGTATCTCAGGTCAATATTGCGGGTTCGGGCCTGGTTTAGTGGATTCAGGACGTTAGTCATGGCATTCTTGCTGTCTGTCAGCAGCAGCAGTGGACGAGGCTGCTCGTAACCCAGCAACTGGAGCAGCTTTGCAATCCAGTTAAGGGACAGTCCAGCAGGCGTAAGGTTGATGAATTCTGCCTCTGTAGAACTTGTGGTGACGTAGGTCTGCTTCTTCGTCTTCCACAGGACCGGGGCACCAGCCAGGAATATAACGTAACCTCCTGTACTAACTCTCGTGAGTATATCGTCCGCAAAGGCAGCATCGGCAGCTGCGTGTAGGCCAAGCTCATCAACAGGCAAGTTGCCATCAAAGCAGATACCCACATCGCTGGTACCAATCAAGTACCGGAACAAGTGCTTCACAGCGGCGAAGTGGTGATCTCCAGGGCCCTTGTTAACCTCACAGAGTCTGCTGACTGTATACGCGATATCCGCGCGGGTTCCAGTAGCAAGGAAGTTAACTGAACCAGTCATCTGGAGGTACAGCTTCCGGCGGTCCTCATCAACAGGATCGTAGTCAACAGGCCACTTGGCATGGGGATCCATAGGGGTCTTGACAGGGTGAAGGTCAGCGTAGCCGAATTTGACGATGATCTTCCGGCAGAAGGCAGCTTGGGTAAGGTAGAGTCTCTTGTCAACACGGCGGACTTCATAGCCTAAGAACTTCTTGACGTCGCCCAGCTCCTTCATTTTCACAAAGGTCTTTAAGATATCCTTGACCTTCTGAATAGTGGCGCGATCTTTCGCAGCGATCACGTTGTCATCCACATACATCAGAACTAGGCAATCAAGGGTCTTGTGGCGGAATAGGCAGACCTCGCCCTCAACAGGGGTAAAGCCTAGATCAGTCATGTGGCCAGTTATCTTCTCGAACCACCACACTGGTGATTTCGGGTGGCCATACAGGGCGCGGCGGAGCAGGCAGACCTTGCTGCCCTTCCGGAATCCATGGGGTTGCTGGACGTATACCTTGACGTCGTCTGGAATCAGCGCTGCCAGGAAGGCAGTGTCGTAATCGAACAGTTCAGCGATGTATTCTTTAGCTGTAACCACAGCAAAGAACACACGGATGGAAGCAGCTGCAGCGACTGCAGCGTACAACTCCTCTGCAGGCCAGTCTTCCACTGCCCTGTTCCCGCAGACCACCCAGCGGGCGCGGTAACGGGTGCGAATGCCGTCATCTTTGATATCGCAGATCCACTGGCCGGGCAGAAGCTTCTGGCCGTCTGGCAGGTCTACCAGAACGTACGCTCCGGCATCCTCCAATGCCTTCACTTGTTTCTCGAAGGCAGGCTTCCACTTGTCCCACTCAGGACTATCTCTTGCTTGCTTGAACGTACGTGGAATGTGTGGATCGGTGACGGCAGCAGCAGTGCTGGTAGTGATCACTGCAGCTGGCTGTTGGTGTTGACTATCAATGAGGTCGAGGCTCACGTAAGCCTTGTTGACAGTAGTTGGAATAGATGCCATACCCTTGTTGACAACGCGGGCAGAGCTCCGTGACGGCGGGCCGTAATCCTTACGGGGTCTCCTCCTGACAGTAGGAGGCTGGGCAGGCTGGAGGTCGTGATCTTCAGCTTCAACCACTTGGGTAGCCTCGTCAATATCCTGCTGGAGCTGTGATTCTAGGGCCTCGTCGTAGTTACTCTCGCTGTCAGAGTTGTCGCGTTGGTCCTGGTGGGTAGGAATCAGGGCGACGTCATCGTCATCTTGCCATTCCAGGGCATCTGTTTTGACCACAATAGTGTCTTCAGGAGGTGGCGACAGCAAGGACTTCGTCACCTCATTGTGCTCCTCGCTGGCCTCGACAGCATCATCCCCATCACAGGGGTCGTCAATAGACTGCTGGTCAGCAGCAGTGTTGTCATTGTACGGGTGGAGGGGACCTTCGTAAGCAGCAAGGTCCGCCTCGACGTCTGGATCGATGAGAATTGCGTCGTGCTCAACAGTGGGATCGTCATATTCGTCATCAGCCTTCTGCTGCTGTCCTTCATTGAATCGTACGTCGCGACAGCGGTAGACCTTGTGGTGTTGAGGCACCCAGACGTTGAAAATGTGACCATGGAGGGATTCATACCCAACCAGGTAACCCTTGACTGCGCGGGCAGACATCTTCGCTGCCCGGTCTGGCTGAAGAGTGCCCTTCTTGTGAAGGTAGGCAACACAGCCAAAGGTCCGAAGGTGGTGGATGTGGGGGATCTGGGCCTGCTTGTCAAGTCCCAAGTCCTTGGCCAACATCTCGTGGGGGCTCTGCTGGCCTGGGTTGGTCTTCTTAGGCAGCAAATTCTGCACAGTAATCATGGTGTTGATGGCGTAGTCCCATAGCATTTCCGGCAGGCCAGCATCAATCAGGCTGGTCCGGGCTGCTTCCACAAAGGACTTGCCAGCTCGTTCACTCTTGCCGTTCATCGATGGGGTGTAGGCAACGGTTAGCTTGACAGCTATGCCGAGTTCCTGGAAGACTTCCTTCGTAATAGTGTTGTATAGCTCTGTGCCGT